TAAGAGAAGTACATTGCTTTCAATTAGTAAGGAGTGAAATAAGTAAGGAATGAAAACCTGTATACTCTACATCAGTCAGTATTTTTCTTTGTTAGGTCCACATATTTCCCCTTAGAATTATTCTTCACTAATGTGTGCTGAAAGGGCTGAAAGTAGATGGATTTTAGTGTGACTTTATAATTTCATTTATTACAATGGTTATTCTTAGTGTGATAGACTGTTTATAAATGCGTCTAAATTACCCCCGTGTGCAAGAAATGGCCTGGCTTACCATCCAAGGGTGGAACAGGATTTGAACTCATGTTAAAAAGATAGCTAAACAAGAATGCTACTGATGCATCACGAAGAAGGAACCTAATCTTTTCTTCACAGTTGTAATTATATATGTTTATTTCTATTTTTTGCCCAACAGCGTAATGACACCGCAGAATTCACTGCCAGCTTCACTTTTGCGTGTCCCAAATTCTTGAGTCCTGTCCCTCCTCCATTTGATGCTACATCTGCCAACTACCATAAAGAACCTTTCCAACAGCAGCTTAAGGTAAGTGCATGGAAATGCTTTCAGAAATATTATTTATTTTTAGCAGAGTGACTTGTGCTGATATTGTTGTAAATAAAAATAAAAGTGGTTTACTACTTTTATAACCTTTTCTACACTGTGAACTTTGTTGCACACTGATAATAATATTGTTATTACATGGATGTAGTATGTGGTCTTGCCATCTCATCTACTAAGTGTTTTTGAATATACTTTTTTTATGTAGGTTTTCTTAGATGAAGTACAGCAACAACAACAAATTAGTGTGATGAGATCGTATCTGAAGCTGTACACCACAATGCCCATGGAGAAGATGGCTACGTTCCAAGAGATGAGTGAAGATGATTTCCGCAATGCCCTATTGTGTTTCAAGCACAAGATGCGTAACATGGTGTGGACAAAGGGCACCTCTGGACTACAGGGAGACTTCCAAAGTGATTCTGAGGTTGGTTTACGATCAGCCCCTAATGAGATGTATGGGAGTGTGTGAAAGTTCTCTGAGAGTATGATTAAAACGTCAGATTTCCCTGTTTTCAGATAACAATCTTGTTCACTCTGCAGTGAGTGATAAAAGGGAAAATGTGAACTGGAAAGGTCAAATGCCCAAAATGTGAGCAATAGGCTTACTTGAGTAGCCATGATGATAGATGTGTGGCTTGTAGGCCCTGTGCGCACAAATGCTTGTGTACAGTGAAAAAACTACATGCCTTCCCTTTGCAATATTATTTTCTCTTTTTCAGGACAAGCATTTTTTGCTTTTTAGCCATTTTCAATGTCAATATTTGTCTCTGCTTTATTCTTGCTTAGACTCCATATCATCTCTCAAGGTAGTCTATAACAGTGCAATGATAATGCAATAATAATAACAATAAGTAACATTTTGTCATTTGTATTGTTTTATTATTTTTTAGATTAATAATTTTTTTATTGGTATTTTTTGTAATATTCTGTTTTCTGTAATGCAACCTGCACAGCCTCTTACCGCGGCAAGGAATAGGAAATAGCTGATGCTCTTCCAGTCATGGCTCTCTGATGATACATTGCACACTCATTTTTTGATGGAAATAATGCTAAAAGCCCTTTATACTCCAAATGAGTCTACTCACCCTCCAAGAGCTTTATGTACTTGTGGCAAGGCATTCCCATGACGGCTAGTTCCTACCACCCTGGCCCTGAGCCAAATTTTCCCATGAAGGCATATTCATGTCACCTGCCCTTCAAACCCAATTTTTTCATGTGATGGTCATGTCATCTGGACATTTTAAAAAATGTCTTGCATTTATTTGAACTAACAAATGCTGATGATTTAGAAATAGAAACCTCAGTATATGATTTTGTAATTTTTTTCCATGCAAGTTTTGAAGCATGAACTCCTATCCTAAACCTTTTGAAGTGTCTACACAGCCCTAAAAGCCATATGCTTTCTTTTTAAGACTTTTTAAAAATCTTTTGCAGGTGGACTTCTTCATAGATAAGAACATGATTCATATTGCTGACACCAAGGTCGCTCAGCGTTATGGAGACTTCTTCATCCGCCAAATTCACAAACTGGAGGAGGTCAACAGGTCCCTCACAAAGGTGAAGGTCTGACTGGTATTTTCCCCTCAAAAGGCAAAATACACAAAGAATGTGGTGAACTAGGAATAGCATATTTCCTGGTTTGACACATTTTGTAATTTGATATCTTAAAGAGAAATGGTAGGAGAGAATATTTTTTTATTTTTTTTCTTATCCTTTTACATCATTATTTCTCAAAATTACATGTTTGTGGTGACTGAATTATTTCTATTACTATCTCTCTCACAAGTGACAAACCAGTTCAAGAGAAGTCTGTATTTTTCCATGTAACATCTGTGAAAAATAAAAAGACCAGTGGTACCTTTTTGTTTGATAATCTGCATTAATTATTTACATTGAATAAGTCATAGCAAGTTGGAGGAATAAAAAAAGATAGAGCAATATGATTCTTTATTAAAAATATGTACTTTTAATTTTTTTATTTACAAAATAACATGCCCCACACAAAACTAAAATGTCTGAATCTATAGCTACCTATTTGTCTAATTTTTATCACAATAAGATACTGCATTTATGTAAAGATTTTACTAACTTTTGCCATTGCCAGTTAGATTTTCACATAAGAAAGAAAAGGCAAGGGTGAGAGTGGTAAAGATAGTCTGGTTGAATAAACCAAAAAAAGGAAAAGAAAAGAAAAAATCAAGATGCAATATTAAAAAGTTAAACTATGTAATGATACACAGTCTAAAACATCCTTGTCTTCTCAAAACACTGCCTTGGCACTATACGATGAAGTGCTGTAAAGAGGCAATGAGACCCAGAGAGTGAAGTCTACTAATAAAAAAGGATATTATTTTTATTAACAGCCACAGCTGAAACACTGTTTTTTAAAAGTAGAATGAAATGAAGTTATAATTAAATATGAGGAAAGGTTATTTCAAATGTAAAGAAAATTAACAGAATTGCATAATACAGTTGGGAGAGATCCATGCATGTGTACTGTAAAGATTGTTCTAGTTTCCTGTAATATACAATTAACACTATATTTTACAAGTGGAAGGTTCTTGACAGTAGAGAAAAAAAAAGTTAAATACATCAATATACATATATATTTTCAAGTTGCTTAATATAAAGCTAAACTACTGATACTTAAAGATGTAACCCATTGGCTGCAGGTACATGTACTTTCCACTGTATTTTTTGGTAAATTATGGTGCGCACATGTGGCTCTGTAAGTCCTCATCCAACTAGGAGTTAATTTGCGACCTAACCTGATTTCTTCACTCCTTGATCTTTTTTTCTATTCTAATGCTATTTATGTTAATACTGTTATTGTCATCACTGACATACTGTTTATTGCAATGCTTTTTAATATGCATTTAGCAGAAATAAAATAGAATCAAGGAAGAGGATGAACCAGTGAGACAGGTGGGGCTAATAATGAACTCCCTGGTGAGAAAGTACTTGTGGAACCAGCCATGTGTAAATACATTTAATAACTAAAATCATAGTAAACATGACATGTAAGCCATGCCATTTCCAGCACATTTGGGTTAAAGAGGACACATCAGAAGAGGCATTCAAGTTTGCAACTGAGGAGCATGCAAAAATGTACAGACACACAGGAAATTGATACTCTTATACTTCAGATAATTAAAATAAAAGAAACCACATTTGAAACATTATTTTTGCTTACAATTCATATATATATATATATACTGTTTATTTCACTCATAACCTGTGTAAAAGATATTTTTGTCTTCTCATCTTGAGGCATATTTAAATACTGAAGTACTTAGCAATATCTAATAAAATATTCCTTTTATATCCTTTTTTTTTACACATTACAAACTATATGTATTGAACTATATTTCATTGTCATATTAAAAAAAGTATCTTAAAAGTAGTTTATAAAGTAAGAAAAAGGAGCAGATTTTCTTTTAGAGAAATGGTTTTACAAAACATAAAATCTATTACCAAAAGATGAACTAACTGTAATAAAACTTACAGCTGCTGTTTTTGGCGTATTTTGTTTTGATTTCACCTTTCTAGCTAAAGAATTAAGAATAAAAATATAAAAATCCAGTCAACAGAGAAATTACCGACATAAAATTAGTACTTTACTATTTTTCCCTCAAACATATATCAGCAAATTCCACACTCAAACATCTGTAATAAGTGAAGGAGTAGGCGAGGCCTGGAACCTGTTGTGTGGCCATCTTCGATACAGCTGATTTAGTGGAACATGTAAGAGCTCCATGAGTGTAGGGAATTCCTTTTCAGTTTCTGGCGTGATGTAACTATGGCGAACTAAGAAATCCACAGCCACTGGCACGGATGTCAACTTGTATTTGCTGGACGTGGCCCGTTCGAGGAGTTCCTGTGGGAGAGATAGTGGTTGGGGTGAGTGAGTAGGTTTATGTTTTTGAAATTTTGTTTGATTAGGTTTAGGGAGTGATACGGAAAGGAAGAGGGAGAGGGGGAAAGGGAGAAGAGAGAGGTAATGGTAAAGGGAAAAGGAGAATTATGGAAAGGGAAAGGGCTAAGGAGAGAGAGGAAAAGGAACAGGCAGATAGAACGAAAGGAACTGGGAGAGAGAGGGAAAGGATGAGGGAGGGAGAGGGAGAGAGGGGAAGGGGGATGAGAGTGAAAGGGAGAGTGAGAGTGGAAAGAGGGAAAGATAGGCAAGAGTCGTAGTAACTGAGGCAGTTTTAGTATTTACCTCAACTGGAATGCATTCAAAGCCTTCTACTTCTCCATCATTATTGGACGGGGTGAAATCGGAAGGAAGTTCAACATCGTACACAAACTCTGTGTTGGCATGCAGGCCGCGCTCAGACTCCGTGAAAAATCTGCATCAAAATAAAAAGCACTATTTAACTGTATGTATATTTCTCAGTCAATCTCCCTATCTGTCATTAGAAAAAATCATCAATGTCACCCA